GTATGTGTATGCGTGTGTGTATGCTTATGCGTATGCGTATGTGTATGTGTATGTGTAGGTATATGTGTAGGTATATGTGTATGTGTATGTGTATGTGTATGTGTATGTGTATGTGTATGTGTATGTGTATGTGCATGTGCATGTGTATGTGTATGTGTATGTGTATGTGTATGTGTATGTGTATGTGTATGTGTATGTGTATGTGTATGTGTATGTGTATGTGTATGGATGGATGGATTGACGGTTGGATGGATGGATCTATGTATGCATGGTTTTGTTAGTTCACCCGCGCTGTAACGTGAGGATTTGCGGCTCACCGCGCGCATGTTGCTCTTCCCTTTTCTCTTTCCCTTCTCCCCCTCTGCAGCCGTCTAGGCTGGAGTTGACAATTATGAGGGGACTTCGTCCTTGAACCCTAATGGCCGCCCTTCTCGCCTGTCTCCTCGTCCCCGCCCTCGCGACCCTCACCACCCTGGGTGGGCTGGGGCTCCCCACCGTCAGCTACCCCCGTGTGGGGAGCGGGCCTGTGGTGGAGGCGGACGGGGAAAGAGAGCACGCGGGGGAATTGGCCGATCCTCCCCGTTGGACGTGGCAAGGTCCTCCTGCGTGGCCCCCCGCCTTCAGCGTGGTGAGGAGCCTGGCCCCGTCGGTTCGGTGCGGGAGGAGTTGAGTGAGGTCGTTCTGCTGGCCCAGCCCGCCCCTCGGGAGGGCCCGGGCACGGTGTTGGGAGAAACTGCGCGGGGGCGCGCCCCCCTCCCTCCGGCGCTCGGCAGGGCAGTAGTGGCACCAGCGCCCCCGAAGGGCCCCCCCGCCCAAGACTGTTCCTCAAAAGCCCGAGGTTGGCAAGGGACGTGGCCCGAACCCCCTGGGGGTAACCTCCCCGCCGCCGCTAAGAACCCGGGTGGGAAACGCCGCCCGGCTGGCAAGACATTTGGGAGCCCCCGCGCAGCGTTCGGCCCCCGCCCCCTTGACCACGTCTCCCCTCGCGAGGGCCGAGAGAGGCAAGGGCCCTGGAGCCCCCGCGCAGCGTCCGGCCCCAGGACCTCCACTCACTGGCCCCCAGTGAAGGGTGACATGGAGGATTTGAACAGGCCCCCCACGTCGAGGAGACGTTGCGGCCACCGGGGGCACCCCTCGGCCCCTCCGATTCGATGGGATACCCCACTCTGAAAACCAATCCCGCTCCTGAGCCCTCGCCCGAGCCCACCGGCCCCGCGGCCCTGTGGTTCGGAGGGTTCTTCAACCTCCCTCGATGGGCTCTTGGGGGCCCGCCGGAGGCCAATATGGTATCCCCCCTTCCCGACTTTCCAGGGGACGGACCGGGAAGCAGGGACGTGGACCCGGAGGGCCCCCCTGGACGTTGCACGGCAAGTGGGGGGATTGGCGCGCTTGGCCCACTGCGCCTGTTCGGATAACCTCCCGGAGCCTTGAGGAGCCCGAGGAGGAGAGTTTGTGGGGGAGCAATTGGTTCGCTAGCAGGCTCTGCCGCCAGACTTAACGCACCTCGAGGTGCGTTACGCCCGGCGGCAGAGCCTCACTGCATGGTTATTCTGGCTCTCCCACGGGGAACGTTCATCCCAGCGGGCGTCTCCAATGCACTGCCTGCCCGGCCAGATTCGATAACATGTAAAGGGACATGTAGATTGCGTGTTCTACCGCACGAGCACGTCTCCGAACAGTTGGCGCGCATAGGATTGTTCCCAGGCGCTGAAACGAAGGGCTGTTGTGGGAGGAGTGGCAATCGAAGTTATACAACCGCGCTCAAGCAATACTAACACTACAGAAGGCTTGGACGAAGTTTGGAATTCTTCACGCTTCGCGTATCCCCACAATTACCTTCCGCCGCTGGCGCTTCCGCCTGCGGCTGTAAAAAAAAAAATATCCCCACAATTGTCCGCTTGGAGTCTGGCGCCACATCGGCGACTCACCCTTGTGGCCATCCCATCCTCACCTTGCACATTGACCTGCCCACTGATGTCCGCGGGTCCTGCGCGAGCCCTGCGTTGGCCACTCGAATTCTGGTCATTTTGTCCAGTGCACGTGCCCGAGCTTGCAGTACGTCAGCCAGTTCAGCGTCACCCAGCCTGCAGCTGCATGAGGGGGCCGGCCGACGCTCCTGTTTTAGCCAATTAGCTTCGCCCGTGGCCCGGACGTCGCCTTCGCCGCCTGACCCTTGTCTCGTGGCCACGACCAAAAAAAAATCCCCACAATCTTTGGCTGCGCCCCAACCCTGGTTGGTTAATCTTGCACGCGCGCGCTCCTGGATTTGGTCCCTGACAACCGCAGCCTGCACCTCCCCCTCACGCCGGCCCGCCCGCCGAGGCGCTGCTGAGGTCGCCGGCCGTCGGCGTTACGTAGGCAGTTCGGCTCTTGCGCGGCCCGCTCGGACCTCTCTCGCCGCTGGCGTTTTTGCTTGCGGTTGTGACAAAACAACTATCCCCACAATCTGGCTGCGCTTATTTGCTGGTCGCCACTGGGATTTCCAACGCCACCGGGTTTGGGAGTATCGGTTCTGGCTTTCTGAATGGCTGCCCGCG